TACTTTCTTAACCAACTTCTTTACTTTTACTTCAAAGATGTGAGGACAGAGTTTCACAGGGGGATGCACAAATACTTCCCAAGAGTAGACAGCTCTTATCTGAAATATAATAACTGGAAAGCAAGTGAGACAAATTTGTCCCTGTTTGCAAACAACAGGATTTCTAGAAAAAATAAGAAAAATCTATACACAAACAGAACTAATAAGAGTTCGGCAAGGATGTCTGTGATAAAACCGATACACAAAATCAGTTAGGCCAGGCACAGTAGCTCACACCTATAATCCCAGTCTTTAGAAAGCCAAGGTGGAAGGATCACTTGAGAACAACCTGGGCAACACAGGGAGACCCCATTTCTACAAAAAATGAAAAAAGTTCGCCAAGCATGGTAGCACATGCCTGTAGCCCCACCTACTTGGGAGGATGGGGCAGGAGGATCACTTGAGCCTGGGAGTTCATGGTTACAGAGAGCTATGACTGTGCCACTGCACTCCAACCTGGGCAACACAGCAAGATTTTGTCACAATAAATAAATAACTTTTTAAAATGGCATGCCTGTACCTACAAATAACCAACTTAATGAATAAAACTTAATGCAAAAATGGCTATGTTCCCCAGATTTATTTATAAATCAAAAACAATTTCAATCAAAATCCTGAGTGTTTTTCAAGGACACTGATTCTAAAATTCATACAGAAGAGCAAAGTACCAAGAATAGCTAGAATAGTTTTGAAGAAGAAGAACAAGGAAGGGAATATGTGGAGTTGACACATGTTTATACAAATCAGAGAGTCTAAAAATGAAACTTGAGCATGACTGAGGTTGCATTACAATGGAGAGAGATGAACTATTTGATAAAAGATGGAGAAAGCACATGTCCACATGGAAAAATAAAATTATGTTCCTTAGGACATTCACAAAAATGAATTTTATGGAATTAGAGATATGAATCAAAAAAGCAAATTGTAGAAACTGATAGAAAAAAATACAGCAGGCTATTTTAATGACTTTAGTGACAGGGAAGGATTATCTTAAAACACAAAATACAAAGAAAGCACAAATAAAGTGAAAAAACAAGACACAAAGCAGAATATCTGTAATGCAAATGACTAACAAAGAATTAATACCAAGAATATTTAAACAGTAAAAAGCAAATAACCTAAGAGAGCAATGGACAAAGATAACAAATAAGTAAATCACTGAGAAACCCCAAAAGGCCAATAAACATACCAAAACACATTCAACCTTACTAATAAAATAAGGGAAAGGTAAATTACTACAGAATTGAGATATTATTTCAAAGGATGGCAAAAATTTAAAAGCCTGAGAGTGCCAAAATGGGGAAAAAGAGGAAATTCATACTCTGGTGTGAGTATAAATTAAAATAACCACTTGAGTTCAAGACGTTTATGGCCTACAATGCAAAAATTCCAATAGAAACTCTTGTTTATATGTAAGGAATGATGATGTTACAAGAATAATCACTGAAAAATGGCTTATAACAAAAAATTAGAAACAACTATATAATTCATCAGTAGATGAGTGAATAAATATACAATAGCATACTCTACTGCAGTTAAAACAAATTATCAGTACACACATCAACATGTATATTCTCAAAAACATAAAACTGAGTTAAAAAATGAGCTACAGAATGATCTCACTTACATGCATTTTAAAAACTTGCCTAACAGCAAATTTTATGGATACATAAACACTCAGCAACAGTATAAAAATATTCAGGAGAATGAAAAACAGCATGAGAAGGGTTTCTCTAGGGAGGGAAATGGAAGAGGAATGGGAATATGGAAAGGAACAGAGGAGTGTATTTTTAATACTAGATACATGGGTAAACAGACAGATATAGGTAGTTGCGTTGTGAGTACATGGATATCTATTTTCTACATTTCCATATATTTGAAACATGTTATAAACTTCCTTTATATTAGCAAAAGGAAACATTAAAAAATGGGAGTTGCAATATTAACATAAATGCATCTCAAAAACAAAATCTTGAGTTAAAAAATTTAGTCAAAGACATATATGTATAGTGTGATATAATTTATATACTGGGTAAAACAAACTTTTTTTTTATAACTACCTATGTATTGACAATTGTATAGGCTTTCATGGGAATGAACAACTCCAAATTCACCATGATGGCTACCTCTGGGGAGTGAGTAAGAGGAACAGGATTAGAGAAGAGTACACTGAAGTTCCAACTAAATCTATAATATGACTTTAAAAAGTCTGAACCAGGTCAGGCGCGGTGGCTCAAGCCTGTAATCTCAGCACTTTGGGAGGCCGAGGCGGATGGATCACGAGGTCAAGAGATCGAGACCATCCTGGTCAACACGGTGAAACCCCGTCTCTACTAAAAATACAAAAAAATTAGCTGGGCATGGTGGCACGTGCCTGTAATCCCAGCTACTCAGGAGGCTGAGGCAGGAGAATTGCCTGAACCCAGGAGGCGGAGGTTGCGGTGAGCCGAGATCGCGCCATTGCACTCCAGCCTGGGTAACAAGAGCGAAACTCCGTCCCCCAAAAAAAAAAAAAAAAGTCTGAACCAAAGATTGCATTTTATAAAGCTTAGTACCGGATGGCTTTTAAAAAAACATATTTATACATGTGTATATATGTAAATAATGGTAGGAACAAAAATAATAAATAGGCAACAGCAAGTAAGTATAGAGCCAACATTTGAGCACTTATTATGCAGTACCCACACTTCTCCCATCCAAGTACTAACCAGGCCTGACCCTGCTTAGCTTCCGAGATCAGAAGATACTGGGAGCGGGGTGGCCATACACTAGTAGCCACGCTTCTAAGTACTTACATGCATAACCCTAAAAACAACCCTAGGAGGCAGATTCTGTTACTATCCTCATGCTATGAGGAACTGAAGCAGTGAGAGGTGAAGTTCACCCAAGGTTATAAAGCTAAGTAATTAACGATAGTAAGAAAGGAAGCTAGGACTTCTAATCCAGCTTACAGTTTAATAACTAAATTATTATTATTTGTTATTCATCTCTGCATGTTGGAAATATTTCTTAAAAAACACTATTAATCCCCTCCTCCCCACCCCACATACATATATTTCAGCGTAGCACAAACTGCTTCTAAAGATGCCAAAAGAATTCTAGGAATGTTTTGAAAAACGCAGCATCCCAACTATTCTACTAATTTATATGTCTGAGGCTTGTTATTTTTTAAGACCATTACTTCATTGTTAAACATTATTTCTTCAATAGCCCTAAAATAATAATTTGGAATCCTAGAAAACTGACATGGGGAAGCCTAAAATATAATTCAACATCTGTCTCAGAGACAAAATTTGACTATTTACCTTTAGGTCTGAAAACTCATATTAGAGTTTTTAGTAAGCAATTCTGGCAAGAAATTGAATGGAATTTCAATTATTATTTTTTTCTAGTCTCTAAGTTACAAGTTGGTTTATTTTTTAAAAATCAGTAGCAAATATTATACAATGATAAAATATCATTTGTATAGGATAATTTATACCAAAATAAAGGAAATTGGCATTCTCAGTGACCAAAAATGTATCAGCATTTATTATGTGCTAAACCCATACTCCTTGTAGCAGTAACCATTACATTTCTTAAATGTACATTTCTGTTACCATGTCTTAAAAATGTCCCCTTTTCTGAATCTGTATACCCACATTTTCATTAGTATCATCTACTAATCTACAGAATGTCTTCAAAAAACAAAAAAGAAGTTCACTGTCTGGTAGTAGGGGAAATAGACTAGTAAACAAAAGTTCTCTGTAATACGTAAGTACTTCAATAAAGGTATTTAAAAATATTAGAGTAACATAAAGTTGGAGGAGATGGAAACGTAGCTTGTGCACTTTTGTAATAGGAAATCTGGAAAATGATGAACAGGAGACACGACATTAGAGTACTCTTTTAAGGAAAATTGTTTTAAAAGACAGAAGAGAGGCTAGCATGGTGGCTCACGCCTACAATACAAGCATTTGGAGAGGTCCATGAGGGAGATCACTTGAGGCCAGCAGTTCAAGACAAGCCTGGGCAACACAGTGAAACTCCATCTCTTAAAAATAAAAAATTATCTGGGCATGGTGGTGCATAACTGTAATCCTAGCTAATTGGGAGGCTGAGGCAGGAGCATTGCTCGAGCTCCTGGAGTTTGAAGTTACAGTCACCTATGATAGCAGCACTGCATTCTAGTAAGGCCCTGTCTCTAAATAGTAATAATAAATATATGTAAGAAGATAGGGTAATAGGAACATAGGGTCTAGAAGTACTAAAGATGGGAGAGAAAAATACTTAGCACTAACTCCTCTGATCTATTTTCCTTGACTACATTTATCTAAGACTAAATCCCAGCTGTTCATTTACTACTCATGAGCAAGTAACGCTGCAAAGCTTCAAATAAAATACTAGATGTTTAAGAACTCTACATTATAGAGGGAATCTGAATAAATGATCTCTAAAGTTCTTTCCAGTTTTGAAATTCCGTAATTCTAAGACTACCAGAGACTCTGAACTCTTTAAACTCAAAAAGAAATCACAAAATATTCAGTATGCAAAGAAGAAAAATCAAGACCATTAAGAGTTTTTATAATTGCATCTTGTTATTTTTGCAAAACAGCTGTTAATAAAACAATTAACTTCTAATCTATCAATAAAATTCCCATAAAAAGACAGCATGTTTTAATAAATGCTGGTAAAGTGCTTCTCCCCCATAAACCTGTAGACTTCTGAAAAAAACAAATAAATCAACAATGGAAGTGCACTGCTTAAAAGCTCATAGTGTAGATTTGTAAGTCACCTTTTAAAATGAAGATATCTATGTATTACATATTTACTATAACATATTTGTTATCTTCCCCTTAAAATGTCAACGTACAAGCTGAAGGTTCATCAGGTTTCAAAAAAACAGCTGATATTAACTCATTATAGTAATATGTTTGTTTCATTATCACACATTCTGAAATTTGTAACAAGGTTTCCCTTACCTGATACGGACATGGAATGTGATATTCTCTGCAGCGTTCTTGTATCCACGTTGTTTCCCAGATGCCACGGTAAGCTTGCTCATAAAAGTAGCATCCAATTACAACCAAGAGTGGTACGAGATAAAGAATGCTGAAAACACCAATCCGGATCATAAACTTCACTAATTTATCTTGGTTCTCCTTTTCTAATGGAATCTCAATTCGAACTCTATTTAGGGATATAATGCCAGCTAAGAGTAGAGAAACCCCAACTACCACATACAGGCAGAGGGGAGCAAGAACAAAATATCTCAATGCATCAACATCGTAGAGGCCAACAAAACACACGCCACTGATATTGTCACCTTCAATTTTATTCATCGCTAAAAGGATGATAGTTAGAGTTCCGGGGATGCCCCATGCACTGGCATGAAACAGCAATGCTTTCTTCTCAATAGCTTCACTACCCCACTTTGGCACAGCTGCTAAAAACCATGTGATGGTAAGAATTACCCACCATACACTGCCAGCCATAGTAAAAAAATAGAGTACCATAAAAAGCATGGTACAGGCTTTATTATGAGATCCTTGTGTCACTGTGGAAGCCTTATATTGTGCAGGGATGGATGCATTGCAGGCTACTCGATCCTCTAGCAAAAATCCAATGAAGAAAATTAATGATACCATCATGTAGCAGACTGCATAAAATATAATAGGCCTTTCAGGGTAACGGAATCTTGTGACATCAATCAAAAAAGTTAAAAAAGTAAACAACGTGGCAGAGAGGCAAATGATTGAAATCAATCCTATGAAATAGCGAGCAAATGACAGTTCTTCTCTCCTAAAGTACATATTTGGACAAGGAGGTGAACAATCACGCACGTGCAGAAAAGAATAACCCAGATCAGGATCAATTTTTAACTCTCGGGGACACCAAAAACCATAGTCTCTCTGCACTGCCACTGGGGTTCCTTCAGTTGGTTCTCCAGCTAAATTCAGATCTACAAGTCGAGGATATGGCTCGTCACAATCTGGGAACCTAAAAAACAAAACAAGATGAGAACTATTTTTATTTACAGGGAAATCTACCATGATCTAACAATTTGGATTTCCAAATTTGGCACTGACAACCTTATTTATTCCTGGAGAGCAAATGTAACATGATGTAGAAATAAAGTAAATGGTGATATCTTGCTTGTGGTTCATACAACTAGATTTTCGACAGTTAAGCAAAAAATGCTAGTTGTATGTCTTGAGAAAGTATGATAGCCTCCAGACAAAGAAAACAAGGTTGTGTTGCAGACATTTATGCAACTAAGGAGACCACTGTCTTCCTCTTCAATTTTTTTTTTTTTTGCCAATACCTGTTTCTAAGACTTTAGAGTCCAGTAACTAGCTGTTTACTGTTTTATATGCATCGAACAGTTTCTTAGAAACTAGGAGCATAGAGTGCATTAAGTTTACCAGACACAAACATAACCTTATGCTGTAGCTGATTGATATCTTCAAATCTTTTTAATTTTCTAATACAAACCATTTTCTTCACAGAGAATTATAAAGCCAAATGACAGAATGTATTGCATTCAAGTATTTATTGGAACCCTGAGTATGTCAGAAGCTAAAGAGATAAAAATACAGGATCACTACCCTTATATCCAGAAGGAGACACATATTTATAAACACAGCATACACAAAATATAGCAGTGTGACACTCTGCTAGCAATTAAAATCTATATAAGGTACAAAAATGATAAAGACAAGGATTAATTACTTAAGGGGAAGGAGTAATGAAAGACTTCACAGAATAAGTCCCCCAATACTGGATTTTAAATCAGTATTGGCAGTATGCCAACTGGCAATCTAATAAGCAAATACAAGCATAGGCATAGACATTCAAATAGGGTGTGTTTGGTATTGCTGGAACATAAAGTGTTTACGACTTGTGGCAGGAGAAGAGACTGCAGAGGTAAGCATGTTGCAGAAATATGTGTGTGTGTGTGTGTATTAATATACAATTTAAAGCCATGCAAACACTACATATTTCCCATGTTATACAATACTAATATATCTATAGATATACTTGCATATCTAACTGCCAACTCAACATATACACTTAGATATCACATAGGCCCCTCAATCTTCAAATCTTCTGAAAACAAATTCTTGACTTCTACTCCTCAGGTTTCCCCATTTCCATTAAGTGGTTATTCTATACCTCTAGCTGCTCACCTTATCTTTCACATACACATCACAATCTACCAGCATTTCCTGTGATTCTACTTTGTGATGTATCAAGAAACCAACCTCTTCTCATTTCCTCCCCTACTGGTGCCCAGTCTGAGCCATCAATATTTCTTCACTGGACTTCTACAGGTGCCTCCAACTGCTCTCCACTTCCACACAACAGTCAAAGTAATCCTTTAAAGACATGTTGCTTCTGTGTTCGTGATCATGCCTCTTCTGCTTAAAACCCTCTAATGGCTTCTCATCTCAGAGTCAAATCCAAATTCCCTACTAGAGCTACACAGAACCTCAGCACCAGTACTTTTCTCATCTTATTTCCTTCCATTCTGCCTCCCTCACTTGGCTCCAACCACTTTGGTCTCCTGCTGTTCTGTGAATTTATGAAGCATGCTTCCATTCCAGAGTCTCTGTACTTGATGCTCTGTTTCCTCTGCCTAGACTGCCCCCAGGTATCATCATTTGTTTTCACACTTCATTCAAGTCCCTGGTGCAAAGCCTCCATATTAAAAAGGCCTTCTCCAAGGACTCTACAGAAAATAGAATCGCTTTGCTCTCCTATATTGTATCCCTATCGCCTGCTGCATTTGTTCTTATTAGCATTCATTTTCATCTGACTTTGTCCATTTATTTACCACCACCACTGGAGTTTTCACTCCATAAGAAAAGGAACTCTATTTTGCTCACTGCTCAACTTCAGCAGAATAGTGCCTAGAATAGTGCCTAGCACACCAAAGACATTCAATTGACAATTGCGGACCTAATGAATATTGAGTGAATATATTCATATAACCCTAAACCAAGTAATCAGAAAGATAACCAGGAGCAGTGTAAAAGACAGACTTGAGCTAGGCAAAAATGGGGGCAGGGATACCAGCTGTGCCAAAATGAAAAGTCAAATAAGGCAGCGATAACGATACAGATAAGAAATTAGTTAACTAAAAGCAATAAAATGCATAACTTGGATGTGGCAGTTAAGATCAATGAAGAAGGAACAGAAGATAACTTGAAGGGAATAAAAAAGTGAGCAAGGAAATAAAATCAATTTTACATATGCCAAAATTGAGGTCGCTGAGACAAACTGAGGCCAGGATTTCCAATGGCTACTGGATATAGGTTAAAATATTTTTAACACTTGCTGGATATATGCAGGTTTTGAGCTTTGCAGGGAGAGGCTACAGATTTAGATTTAGGAGTCTTCGGTATATAAATAAAAGTTAAAATCAGTGAGATGAGATTATCTCGGGAAAGCAGTAGAATCAGTGAACTGGAACTGAACTCTGGTAAGCACCATTATTCAAGGGCAGAAAGAAAAGGAGGATCCAAGAAGGAAACTGAGAAGGATCGATTTGAGAAATAACAGACCACATAATGGACTGAATCATTTTCAGGAAAGGAGGACAGGCTGAGGTTGAAGGAAATAAAGGTGAGATACAAGTTTAAAGTGAGTGATACAGATTTGGCACAAGTGCTGAGGAAAATGAACGGAATTTTTTCTGACCAAGACAAGTGGTTACAAACAGAAAATACAACTGCTATGATTTCAGAATCATTAAATAAATAGCATAATTCATTTGTAAGAAATTAATCAGTCTATTTGGAGGTCTAAATTAGTATAGTAGGAAGAATGAGTTGAAACTGCTATCAAACATGTTATTTCAAATCATAGACTACAACATTTACGCTAAAGAAAGAAATAAATGAGATCAGGAAGGCCCTATTTAGGATAAAAAGATAAAAATTCTGGGAGTGTCCATGAATTTTTAGAACAGGTGCTGTGTTAGTCCATTCTGCTATGACAGAATACCTGAGACCGGGTAATTTATAAAAACCCGAGATTTATTTCTTTTTTTTTTT